TAAATCAGTCCGACGACACATTCAGTTCGTTTATACAAATTGGTTTTGTTTAATTAAATCGCTTTCAAGAACTTTCAATTTCTTAACTATCAGCATTTCTATCTCAAACAGAAAAAAATAGAGAGTTTAATCTTTATTACGAAACGGTTCTTATGAAACTTTTATTTATTCCGAATGATTTTAATTATTATTATATTTTATTCCATTAAGGTATGTACAGAAAATCAATTTTATTTTTGCATGGAATTTATAAAATTTTAATAAAATCAATATGTAAATTGAATTTCTGTTTAAAATAAAAAAATTTAATATAATAGATATGTACATAAAAAAATTAACAATAAAATTTATTTGAAATTAATCTGGAAAATAAAATATAAGTATATAATATTTTAATAAATATTTCAAAAAATCATTTTAAAAAATAATCAATTATTTAATTCTAAGTTCTAACAAATGTTATTTAAATTTAATCAAGCATATTTTAAAAAAAATTTTGTATTAAGTAAAAAATATTCATTACAATACAATTACAAAATAAAAATTTTGCATATATATAATAAGAAATATATATTTTAAAAATCTAAAATATCTGTGAAAGAAATAATTACAATTCCAGATTTATAAAAAGACAAAATTCCAAGGCAATTAATAGAAAATCCACAAAGGTTCCAAGATTCCAAGGTTGAAACCTTTCAATTCCAAATTGGAAACTAATCTCGCTTATCTCATGTTATGTATGGACGGTGAGTACCAAATACGATCTGTCCTTGTTGCAACCACCCTACTTATTTTGCCGGAAATTAAAGATTTGACCATTTATATCAGAAACATCAAGTAAACCTTAAGAAATAAATATTATTCAAGGACAGTAAATTTCACTATTTATTATGCAAAAAGTGTCAAATCACTGTAATAATGATTCGTAATGGATACCGTAATCCCTATATAGACTTTGTACCAAAATAAAAATACATTTGAGAGCAACTGATTATCACTGTAAAAATGCAAAAGTACTGTTGGAAATTAACATATTAATTTCATGGACGTAAGCATTGTTACTAATATCGCATGATGAGATCTAGTCTTATGCGGCGATGAAAAAAACCAAGGTACCAATCAAATATACCGTGCAAAACTAATAATTCTACATTCTTATCGCCATCGATTATCTCATATTGTACAATATATAT